CCCCCTCCCCTTTTCTTTTTCCCGCAGCCGTTTTATTCGAAATATTACGAAAAATTGCCAAGAATTTCTAAGAAAAAGTCGCGTTCGTTCAAAGTTTCTCACGCGTTCGAGTTCCGAGTCGGGCGCGATCGATCCGCAGCACAGGGCGTTCATCTTAAAACGTCACCGAAGCCACGCTTCATAAATGTTATTTTACTATGAACTCTTGGGTACAATGCAAACGACTTACCAAAGTAACGCTTCACAACGAAAATTCCTCTTATACACTAGTCAGAACCGTCTTCCTTCCTCGAGAACTTCGCCTACAAAAAGAGAGAAAGAGAAAATACACGGGTCGCGTTTTAACGTGAACGCACGTGCATATACGAGTATGTATGACGTCTGGTCTCAAGATCGCGCCGATCGATCCACGTGATAATTCGGCAACATTTCATTATTCGTTTATTAATTATTCACTTATTCACCCAACAGTCTCACGTGCGGTCGCTTGTCGCTTTCTCACATCAATGCCCATTCAGAATCCATCCATGCGCTTCGCGATAACGATGGAAATAATCATGACAACAACAACATCCGGGATAGCGAACGAAACTCGACGCGGTGAAGATTCCACCGGCCGCCGAGACGACTCGGTACACGGTGGATTTCCCTCGTCGGGGAAGCGCCGCGCGTTCCCCCCCATCGGCAGAGATACGCGATTTCCCGCCGCGCGAACGTTTCGGGCCTCGCCGACGAGCGTGTCGCCGATTGTCGGCGGCGCGGCCGGCAATGACAGGCGGCGGAGGTGTCGCGAGCCGCGGGCCGCGGGCACTAGGTGCTAAAAAGTATTCAAAAGTGTTATAATCCTGTGGCCGTGGGACAAAACGCAAGGAAACCGAAGCCCGCGCAACCGGAGACCGCCCTGGCGTCGATCCGCGCGTTCACTGTCGAGCCCCGTCGCGTCCCTCGCCTCTTTCTCTCTCTCTCTCTCTCTCTCTCTTCCCTCGTCTCCTTCCAGCCCCTCCTCTTCCCCTCCTTAGACTACTAATTTCCACGATGTTCGTAGCGCGTGTCGGTATATCATGTACGCATATAGCGTTCGTCGTAGCGTGTAAATGTGTAGCGCGTAAGTCCTCCCGCTAGGGAGGGCACACGGTGTGTCGTTTAATCGTTCTTTCTTACGGACTTTTGTATAGGCCTTTTTGTAAAAGTCTCATCGTATATGTGCGGCCGGGGCGGATCGCTTGCGGGATCGACGCTGGAGAGCAGCCGTCCCTCCCTGTAGCGCGAGCGTCTCGTAACGAACGAAAGAGGGGATCTCGCGAGAGGACGAGAGGAAGAGCGGTTCGGAGGGCGAGTCGCGAGACCGGACGGTCGGAGTTTCGCCCGCGGAGGTGCTTCCCGCGGATCCGCCTCGTTCGCCTCGCGACGGACGCAGCGCGGAGACGGTCTCGGGACTCGTCGTCGCGCGCGTTACCTCCGAGAGCGGCGAGTCATTTTTTATACGATACACCTCGGTCCAAGTGGAAGCATAGTTGAAATTTAGTATTTCGAGTGTCGGCTTGAGAAAAACACACACGGGGGGTTGCGCGACGGGCGGTCTCCGGGCGGGCTCCGGGGGGGGTGTGAAAACAATTTTTAAAAACGCGGAACTAATAAGGGTAGAGTGTGGAGGCGAGGGGGACGCTGATGAAGAACAGAACCCTTTAGTAATATCTAAACTTAATTATAACTATTAACGATACGTACGACTGTGGTAGCTATGCTAGTACCTGCTATTGTTAAAGAGAAATCGACGAGAAGATGCGAGTAAGTAGCGACGAGGACGAGAGACGTATAGAGGATGCCGGGGGAAGGGGGGGGGAGGGAGGTGAATTACGGCATAGTGCCTCAGTGCGTATCGAGGGCTGACCAAGTATCGACGTTCCACGATGGTTTTTCCACGTCGCGCGCAAACTCGCACGCGGCTAAAATCGTAGCGATATCTCCTATCGCTCAATAATATTTCGCTTTCGTCGGTTTTCACTTCATTTTCTCTCTGAATTTCGTCATTTATCGTTAAAATACTGATCGGCTGCTTCAACCCTCTAATGGTAAGGTTAGGGTCGGATCCGACTCCGCGTTCCGTCTTGTTCATTTTTCATCTAATTAACGTACAAAATGCGCTGATTTTTAAAAAGAGTTTATAAAATTAATTGCATCTTATACTCTAAATTACTTTAAATTGCAACATGAAAAACGATAAATTACAATTATGAAAAGAAGATTCAGGATGTGTTTTCATAACTATACGTTATTAAGTGCAGTATTAATTTGGTTATTAATTTTCACAACTTGGTTATGTAAAAAAAGAAAGTCACAGCCAAATTGCTAAATTGAATATGAATTTTTCCAACAGTGTGGGCAAAAGAAGTAAATAATGACGTGAAACATCTTCTTCTGTTTATTTATAGATAAAAAAAGATACGATGAAGTTTACTTAACTTAACTTTAAGTGACTGCAGTAAAGAGAAACGCTTTGACGTTCTGAAGATTCACCTTGCCGTTGGAGGGGGCGGTTAAAAAGTCACGAAGTTGTGAGAAAGCAATTGGCCCATTTTGAGAATTCGGAGTACCGATTGATCTCGATTCCTTTTCGAAAATTCCGATTTCACGTTGCCACGTTAATAATAGCCAATTCGTAAATCGCATCGCAGGCCCGCAGAGATAGACGAGCCTTGGCTCTCTCGTTGATCACTGATGATACGCACTCGAGCCATTGTGCGTCGAGACAAGTTTTCGCACCGCGATCTTTCAGCGAGCCTCGCAAGACAAGCTCCATCCAAAGTCCAAAATCCTGCGATGATAATTCTTTTTCTTCGCGTCGAGGGTGTCGTAGGGGATACACGCGCCTCTTCTCGTTTCCGCTTTTCGCCCGCTGCGACGTCACGGTCGGTCGAGACACGACACGATACGTTTATTCTTGTAATTTTTCTAACTGTCCGCGACTGACTTTCACACACACACACACACATACACACGACAGACTTTCCTCGCACTTGCCCCGCGACGGCGCGATTTAGATTCGTCGAAGATCCGTCGATCGTGTCGTTTCTCGCCGGCGCCGGGCAGCAACGTCGCGGCAGGAAGTCCCGGATGGCAGACTCGGCCAAACGAGATCTCGAAAGTTTCGAGTGGCCCGCACTCGGCGGCTTTGACGACGTTTCAGGCCGGACGACCAGGCCGACGGCTCAAGTCTCTCGGACGAAGACGAAGGGTGGTGAAAAGAAGTCGTCGCCGGCGCGGATGGGAAACTTTCGAAATCATCGTCGCGCCGACCGCGCGACCGAAACTTCGCAGACTTTAAACGGGTTTCGCGCGGACTTTTGCACGGCATTCGAATACGAATAACGGGTGGTTCATAAAGGCCAAAGCCACCGACGACGACTTACGGTCGAGCACGCGATCCGAAAGTTTCGCGGCCCGGCGAAACTCCATCCGGCGTTATTCGCGAGAGGAGAGAAAAAAAGAGAGATGGAGGAGGAGAGAGCGTCGATCGGGCGGCGGAAAAGGGAAGAAGCGAGGAGAAGAGAGACAGCGAGCGCTATGTGTGAAATGTGCGAGCTAGAGAGAGAGAGGGAGATTATAGGACGAGAGAGCGAGGAGAAAGAGGGAGTGAGAGTGGCAACTCACAATGCAATAAGTCGCCAATCAAATGGATCTCGGCTTGAGACGAGAGGCTCAGATTAGCGAAGAATCAAACACGATGTATACTCTTAAAGCAAACAAAAGTGAAAACTAAGCGAGATGAGAATAAAACGGTGATACTAAGTAGAGGCGCGCGTACGCGTAAAACACGCGCAATGAGGCGCGAGTAGAGCGACGCGAATCAATGTGAGAGAAAGGGAAGTAGAGGAAAAGAGAGGGAAGGAGAGAGAGAGAGAGAGGGAGAGAGAGAGAGCGAGCGAGAACGAGAGAAGTTAAGTGAATTTAATTAAATATTGATAGAGCATACATTGAAATACACAAAAACATATAGTATTATATACGTTTACGATACGATTGTAATGAACACTTTGTAAGCAAGGAACAAAAAATTACGCATAGTTTTCCATACACCCCGTAATGGATGTATTCGTTAAAAGGGAACGTTCAGACGGAGAAGCCGCACACGGTGACACATAAAGATGACATATACGGTCCACGGAACATGCGTACACACAGGCAGGCAGGGAGGAAGATTATACAAGTCGGCGCATACGTGCGCGTATACACATACATATACACCCATACACACACAGGCACACACTCGTTCGAAGTCACTCGGGTACACACGAGAATTTATAAAAAAAAAAAAGTAAAGAAAAGTCAGTAATCTGTCTTTAAAGTATCATGTGTCTATAAACTATAGCGATCGATATTGTCTCTTACGTAAATGGCAAAAAAAAAAATACAAATAACCGTGGTAACGTCGTGTAAAGTAGCGATAAACAAACACTCTGCAATATATAATGACATAATAT